GTACATGGGCATTCATGTTTAGGTGTCCTAAAGGCAAGAAAGCAATGCCATACCAAGTCTGGAGCTTCCGTGAGGCACACAGTGGGGTAGACTTGGAGCTAGGGTTCCTTAGCTATCTGACCCTGGGCTGCTTTCCTACCCAACTTCCACGCTTCGATTTCCTCAGTGTCCAATGAAGGGATAATGTCTGCCTCTCAGCATTACCTTGTGGGGATTAAATGAGATGCTCTATGCAGTGTGTTTGATGGAATATGACGAAGTGTGGAAATAGAGAATCCTGCCAACCGTGCGTGTTCGGCCAAGTTTGGTTGCACTTGTCTCTTACCCTTGAATAGAGAGGTGACTGTATGAAAGAAAGAGTTGGCATTACCCATTGCCTTCCATAAAATGTAAGAGCAAATGTGTGTCATTATATGGAGGACTAGGGGCAGGATGAGGACAAAATAGAAGTGCCCTTATCCCACAGTGGGACAGAGGCAGAGTCACCCTGGCAGTAAGTGACATGGCTTACAGAAGCACCTCCTGACCCAAACAGGCACAGGAGGAAGGACAGGACCCTCACAGTGCGCCCTGGATGAGCTCACCCCCACAGGGCAGGAAGACCAGCCCAGCCTGTGGTAGTATGATACCCACACTGAAAAGAAACACTTGACGTGACAGAGTCCTCCATCCGTCCCAGCCATGCTGCTGGAGCCTTGGGCCCTTTGATGACTGGGCTGTTCCCAGGCCCAAGTCCCAGAAAGATGAGCCAAGTGGCAGTGGTAGAGTTCACCAGCCCAGACACAAGGCTGGATGATGATGATCACAATGTGATGTATCAGAGAATGCTAGCTTAGCTGAGCAGAGCAGGCTTGTGTTTGCCACTTTATTGTGAATTGTAGCAGAATGGAGGTCAGTGCTCCCAGAGGTCACCCATCCCATTGTAGGACCTGATGGATTCCAAGGGCATCCTAAAGAGTATGACACTCTTCGTCTCCTGCTGATAATGTAAGGGGCTGCTGATTCACCCAGCATGGAAAAACCTCCAGGAGAATCTGTGTGCTCAGTCCTCACTTGGACCCTCGAGCTGCACACCTTAGCTGTCAGAGGTTAAGCTGGTTTGTCTCTAAGACTAGTTCCACAGTGCAGTTTTACTCAAGGAACATACAGTCCAAAAATAACAACTGCCTGGCTTGACAATTGCCTTGTTGCCAAATGTCCAGGTGGTATAGCTGCATTTGGATGCACACAGCACAGAGAGAAGCTAGCTTACCAAGGACCTAGAGAATCCGGGACCTTTGTCCAGAGAAACATGAGAATGTAAGCATCTGTCACCTGTATGCACTAGAGCCAAACGTATATAGACAGTGACAAGGTTCCATGTCAGCTTTGCATGAGCTCCCTGTGAAAATTTCACAGATGGCCCTGCAGGTAAAAACACTTGACACACAAACCTGAAAACCCAAGTTCAATCCCCAGAACCCACAGTAGAAAGAGAAGACCAAATCCTCAGTGGATTCCTCTGGCCTTTGCACCCGTGTGTGCCATGGCATGCACTCACCCTAACTCACACAGGCCCAAATAACAAAACGATGATGATGATGATGATGATGATGGTAAGATACTAATAATAAATAAAAATGTTTTAAAATTCATAGAGCTCTAAAAGGCTTGACATTCAAAGCCTTGGGACTTGGCAGAATCTGGCACTATACTGTCTGTGCCGGCATCCACCGTATTGAAGCTTCTCTGTGTGGCCTATGAAGGACTCAATCTGCAAGCCCCTCTGTCCCTGCTAACTTTAAACTAGGCTGGCAAAGAGGCATGCGCATGTGTTGAGAGCTTCCAATGACTATGGGGGGGGGGCGGGTAGGGCGGGGGACCGCCTGTTGGAAATCCTGCCTTTTGTGCCTCTGTTGAGAAATGGTCAACAATGGACACATTTTATTCTGTCTTCTTTCTATCAAAAGGGCCAGAGGACTGGGACAGGAAAAAAAAAAAAAAAACAACCTGTTTCAGTTACTATGTTCTTGCTGGGCTCTTTATTGCTTCCTTAATACAAAAATAACCCCCTTTCAAAAATATTCATTGAATTAAAAGGACTGAAAACAATTTAGAGCCACCCAGGGCCCACTGAGTGTTCACTAGAATGCCCTTTCCAGTTTATTCTTCTAGTTGCATTTCATTTCTCTTATCATCATGCATGTAAAATTCTTTTAAGTAAAGTTTTTATCCATGAAAAAAACTCATGAAAATTACTGTCATGTACAGTCTTATATGGAATAGCAGGATGCTGAGCCATGCTTTGAGGTGCCAGGTGCTCTGTGGGGCCTTAAGAAAGTGACACAGTCTTGCAGATGTCCCAGCCGGGCACTATGGGCTCTCAGACATCTTGTCCTCATGGCATACCAGCATGTGAAGTACCATGGGGTCACAGAGTTAACATCCGTCACAAATGTTTGTTAATTCGGAGGCACACAGATGGATCTCAGCATGTAGAACACATTCTTAGGTACCTGCCTTTTCCTGATTGTCTGTAGAGGCCACCATTATTCAGAAGATTCTTTGGGACCTGTCTGTCCCATTCATTGAGAGACATCTTTCATCTGGAGAAGCACAGAGCTATCCTGTGAAAATGCTGTGGTCCAGAGAGCCAAGGGGCGGGAAAATATTTTATCGACCAGCCCGGCAGTCCCACCGACAGTGTGACTCTATTACGGACCCTTCTGGTGTGGCGATGGTGGAAGTAGCTCCTCTGGCTGTCTCCCCATGTGACATAGTTCAGGATTGGGGGGAGAGGGTCTGCAATATTGTATGCCAGCTCTGCCCTTTCTTCCTCCCAACCCTTGCAGACAACCCCAGATGTAAAAGAGTGAGCTAGGTAGAAGGTGACCAGACTCTCAGTTGGGACCCTCGTGTCGACACCCATGTCTCTTAAAGCACATGTCAGGTCCTAGTGTGTCTGAAAATCCTCCTCAGGGGTTAGGGTGGTGTGTGTTCTCCCAGGACCACCCGATCAGGTGACATGCCAGTGCTGGTGCCGCGGGAGTAAGGCGACAGCCCCAGCGGTGGAAGGGACTGAACCTTTCTCTTCACCAAACTCAACAAAACAAATCTCCAAAAGGTTGTTTAGCGGGAGCCTGGTGGTATTTGTGCTGAGAAACCATCACATAAACCTTGTATCTGAATAGCAGAGTGACCTTTTCTGAGGGGCCCTAGCCCTACCCCAGACGCAAATACCACCAGATTGCTTGGCATTTCCTTTTTAAATTTCAGGCGTTCCTGGTTTCAAATCAGCGATTGATCTGTTGGTTTGTAGCCTGTGTGCAATTAAGTTAGTCACACTGCTGTTGGAGTCTGAGGAACACAAGTGCTTTGAAGCCGCTGCCCACCCCGGACACGTCCCAGCAGGGTGCAGAAAGAGTGGTCTTCTAAAACTAAAGTGCTAGCGATCTTGAGTTTTGAATTGTGCACTGCCGCGCCAGGCCGTCCTTAAAGAACACGCCTGTTTGGGTCTCAACTCACATTAAGTCCTAGGGGAAGCGGCAGAGCGCCTGTGAGAGGCAGCATCTGTTATGATTCCATTTCTAGGTGCAGCACCCTGCAGGGCACAGGGGTGAGCAGCTTGGGCTACCCAGGCTGCAAAGGGAAGGCTGGTATCTGCAGTACCTGGGCAGGCAAGGGCTCCCTGAGGTGGGTGCTGAGATGGGTAGGTCAATGTGTTTTGTAGTTCTCCCATCTCTGGCCTGGAGAGCTGCAGAAACCCCTCCTGGGGCAGTAGCTTGTGCCGCCAAATTCTGTATTGAGAATGCCAAGTCTTTCAGATCCTGATCACAGTGCTTAGCTCTCCCCTCTTTAAATCCACTGAAGAAGAAGTACTTTCTTTCCAGCTCCTGTTAACCTGAGCAAGATGTCTGGGGAATGGTGTCTGGGTGGATGGAGGTTTGCTCTTTGGAGCACAGTGCAACGTCAGAATTCTGATTGTGTTTCTCAGTGAGAGTCTATTTTATGTTTATAAGAAGCATCTACCCAGCTAACTGAGGCTATCTGGTGGGTGATGAGGAAGGAGTTTATAGCAAGAAAATCAACAGGTCAGCTGGAAGAAGAGCCAGCTCTTTAAACCAGCTCTCCCTTTCTTTGTGCTGAGGGATGGACCGTCAAACTGCCTACATGTTGAGCAAACACTGCACCCCTGAGTTATATCCAGCCCCCCCTCTTCCCTATCTTTGTGTCTATTGTGCCTGAAGCTTTTTTCTTTTCCCTTCCTTCCTTCCATCCTTCTTTCCTTCCATCCTTCTTTCCTTCCTTCCTTCCTTCCTTCCTTCCTTCCTTCCTTCCTTCCTTCCT